AACTCTCAGACTGAAGAAGTCTCTTGGAGGAGAGACGAAACGTTTCATTAGAGAAGAACCCGTCCAGAGGACCTATACAATTTTTTCTTTTTGTTCATTAGTCCTCTACATCATGCCTGTGTGCAATGGAAGGTATATTTTGTTGTTTTTGTTATATTTATATTTAGCTACATTGTTGCTTTTTTGTTATTTTGCTCGAGTGATTTTTTTCCATAATCAGTTGTGTGAAGTAGAAGGTGATAGGATAATTATTTTTTTAACAATACAAAACATTTTTATCTGCCTAAAATTTTTGTGTTGTGTTTTATCATCACAAAATTATTCAATGTAGATGACAAGGATTGGTATCGGTAATACTAGGCCTGTACGTGCTAGGTATCAAATCTAGTATCGCCCAACTCTAGTTTTTAAATTTATTGTCAAACTTCATTAACTTTATTATTTATTGATTCAAGGTAAAAACTTCTGACAAAAATCCACAACATTTTTTTCTCCTGCTCTGCAGTGGGTTGGATGACAGGTCAGGACAAACCAAACCTGCCCCTCTAACGTTAGAATATTTATATTTATTTTGTCTATATATAGTCTGTAGGTCATATATAAATACAGTGTATGGTTCTGACCCAGTGTTTTGTTTCATGTTTCTGGTGTATTCATGGTGTTACAGCACCACAGACAGGCTTGGAGGAGGTACTGCATCACTTTCTCTCTTCCTTTTTTTTCATGTGATTAACAGGTTTCTACGAACAGTGTCGTGTTTACAAGGATGTTTTTAGAAATGACAAATACAGGATTGTTTTAGAAACATGGTTGCTGTGTGGACAAAGAGCAGTTCTATTAATGTTCAGTTTGATGTGGACCTGAATCTTGAGTCTTGTTTTTCTGGTCAGGCTCGTCGTGCCGGGGTCACCTGCATCATCCTTCCAGCTGAGAACAGGAAGGACTTCTCCGACCTGCCAGCCTACATCACCGAGGGCCTTGAGGTCCACTTTGTGGACCACTACAACCAGATCTACCCCATCGCTTTCCCGCAGAACTAGCCTGAATGGGTTTCCAACTAGAAGCGACCAGTCTAGAAGCCTTATAGAAGCTGGTCGAGCTGGTCCGACGTGTAGCTGCTCGTTGAACTGACCGGACCCACATGTGGACCCTGAAGGGTCACTGTGGCGTTTGGTACCACTTTAAATATTTCATAATGATTCCAGAGCAGCTGACCCATGACTCAGATCCCTCCATCAGCAGACGAGTGCCTCCAGCTCCTGCAGGATTCTGAGTGGAGGAGGCCCACCATTAGGTGGTGGGGTGGGGTCTAACAGCTGTGCCAAAGACGAGCGTTAAGGGCACAGGAAGTGATGTCACTGATGATTTGAGCAAGAACCTTGGTGCCAGGCAGCCTCTGTCTCAAACATCAGTAGCTGAACTCTTTCACTATTTTATATTTAAACAAATGTCACTATTCTATTAAAACATAATGTATGAAATAACTAATTATTTTTGGTGTCTTCATGCCTTAATAACAGTGAATTTATTTGAAGTGTTGCCTGCCGAAAGGTGAAGGTCTGGTGACTCTGTTTTGTTTTCGTCTGTTAGCAAAATATCTCATGAACTGCTTGAGATTTTAATTAAACTTTGGGGAAATAATCATTGTTGTTCATCTAAAACTGATTAGGTTTTTGAGTCAGTCTTAATGAAGGTTGCTACAGATAACTGATCTTAAAAAGAAAAACTCCAAAGTGTCTACTATATCTTAGTTTTACAGACAGTGAGCTAAAAGCTAACTTTGAGATCTAACATTTTTGCAAGGCCTTTATTTAGATTGAGAAATTAACGTTTTACCATAATAGTTTGAAGTGAAAATACCTGTCAGATTTTAGTTAACACTTTGATTCCTTTTTTCAGACCACATCGTATCATAAAAAAAATCACTATGGTTTTAAATGTCAGTAGGAAAGACAGGTCCAAAAATGTTCTGTATTTAATCTTTTTTTATACAAGCCTATTAGACACGATAAACAAGGAAAAGTACATTATAACATGTTATGGAAATATCTATTTTTGTTATTATTATTGTTATAAGTGCACTGCGTGGTTTGGTTGTCAAATGATGCATATATGCAGAGACTGAGTGACAACCGGACAAAGACAGAATCATTAGCTCTGTCAAATTACCATCAATCTGCATATATACAACCTTATTAAACCATTTGAAGACCAAACCACGGAGTGCACTTTTCTTTATTCACGCGTTTCTTTCCACAACATAACATAAGAAGCTCAGTTAAGACTTGTATGTTTGTAAAATGAAAATAATAATAATAATAATAATAATTGCAGTAAAATTTACAGTAAAAATGGTTTCAGTGTTCAGATGTGATGCAGGTTTGTTCAGATTGATGGGCTGTGTGGGTGTAGGTGTGTGTGTGGGGGGTGGGGTGTATGGGGGGCGGGGTTAGAGGAACGAGCTGATTGGTCCTCCGGAGATGCAGCAGCGCCTCTGATTGGCTGAGACACCGAGCTGAGAGACACGGCTGAGGGGACAACAGAGGTGAGGAGGACCCCACAAACAAAAGACCATCCTGTCCTGTTCGGTTCAGCTCCGACCCGTCCGGACCCCTGACGCCCCCCTGGTTCTGGGGTTGTGCTGCGGGATGCGCGCGGACGGATCCAGCCGCTGCTCAGGACCCGGATGTTCATAAAATGGACTGAGACCCGTTCTGACTGTCGGAGCTGTTCTGGTCTGCGCGAGCAGGTAAGGTTCTGCTCTCGTGTCCTCCATCAGCACCGAACCGGGGCTCGTGCACAGGCCAGGCCGGGGGCCGGTGATGTAACATTTAGCGATGCTGAACTGGACCCGAACCAGTACCTGGCGGCGTCCCGCCGTGCGCCCCGCGCGCTGTAAGGTGTTGATGACGTCAGAGCCTGGACAGATGTGTTGATGGTTGAACATCTGCAGGGTGATGCTGATGCTGCAGCCTCAGAGACAAAGGCCTTCATCACTCTTCTACCTCAGCATCAGTCGTCTCCATGGTTACGGGTCCAGAGCATCAGGGACGCTTGTCGCCTTGTTTTACTCAACATAAAATAATAAACAACCATCTGGTTCTTTGTTAGCCTGCTAGCTACGGAAGCCGGGGCAGCACTAAAGTGTTTTTGACTGTGTCTGTTAGCAAAATATCTCATTAACAATGAAACAGTGAAACTCTCAGTGGATGTTGACCTGGTTCCACAGCAGCCAACACAACACAACACAACACAACACAACACAACACAACACAACACAACACAACACAGGACCAGCTGATGTTACAGAAATAAAACCTGCTGTGGCAGCAGCTGACAGTCATTCAACATGTGCAACAAAAACTAACAATGTTTCATGATTTCATCATAAGCAGATCTAAACCCACTGGTGGGCACGGTTCCCCTAAAGCTCTAAACCACTAACAGGAGGAACTAATTTCCTGATTAGTGCTTTAGGGCTTTTGCTAATTTCTTAATTCAGTGGATTAGTATGTGCTAAATTTATGAGCTAAATTTATAAGCACTAATTGAGTTCTTTAAATGTTATTGATCAACATTATTGTTAACAGCTGAGGATGAAAGCTGTCAGAGGAGTTGGTCACTTTTCCACTAAATCACTGGTTTTCAAACTTTTTCACTTCCGACCCACAAAATAACAGCTGCAGACACTCGTGACCCCAGATCACTTGTTTACGTAGCAAACGTTGCTAATAACGCTGTTAAATATTGGAATAATAACTATAAACAAACCTAGTAAACATGTTACAAATTTTTATTCAATTATAATTATTTTTTAAAATTTGCAATTATCATGATAAAAATATTCCACTAGCATTTTTTAATTTATTTATTTGCATTTAAATTGGTGTCTGGGAGTCATCCGGGGACCCTCACTTGATTTGTGACCCACAAAGAGGTCCCGACCCCAACTTTGGGAACCACTATGAGATGAAATATTAACAATATTCTGCACACAAAATATCCTCTCATGTTGACTCTGAGGAATGTTCAGCTGGGTTTTTAGTGCTTTAGAATTAGGGGACCTACAGCGGGTAAAATAAGTATTGAACACGTCATCATTTTTCTCAGTAAATATATTACTAGAGGTGCTAATGACATGAAATTTTCACCAGATGTTGG